ACACACGCACACGCACACACACGCACACACACACACGCACACGCACACACGCGCACACACTCACGCTCCCACTCACAAGCACACACACGCACACACACGCACGCACGCACTCACACACACACACACACGCACGCACACACACACGCACACACACACACACACACACGCACACACAGACACACACACACACACACACACACGCACACGAACGCACGCACACACACACACACATACACACACACACGCACACACGCACGCACGCACGCACGCACACACACACATACACGCACACACATGGGCCCTGGGGCGGCCCTGGGCCGGGGCTGGTGGCGCCTATGCCGCCACAGGTGGAGAGGCAGTTGGCCGACCGGCTCGCGACGAGGGCGAAGCTCACGCAGGGCGAGGCCCCGCGGCTGGCCAGCCTCTTTTGCCCCGCGTCGGCGCCGTCGCCGGCGCCGCCGGCGGCGTCGTCTCGAAGAATCTTGAGGAACAAAGAATCAGCGCCGATCCGAGGCATTCGCGCGGACCTCCGAGTTTCTATGTTGATGTCATTGTTTGTTCCCCTAGAATCACCGAGCGCGTTCCGCTACTCGCAAAGCTTCTACTCGCAAACGTCAGACAAATTGTGTCTTCCAGTACGTAATGGGTAGTATATCCCCCCTCGGCGGGTCCGAGCCATTTGTGAGCAGTTACTTTGCGAGTAGTGGAACGCGCTTGTCTCAAGGAGGAAAAAGCGCATACACGGAAACGTGTATAGAGAAGAGAAATCAAAGAGTAGACAAAGCAAATCTCGGAGAGTAGAGTGGAGCAGATGACACTGAAAACCACGCTCGTCCGATCTCCATTGATCCGCACTACCAGCGCGTTGCCTCTCTTCTTGTTGCTAGAATTGGGCGTCGCCTCACAGAAGAAGAACTGCAGAAGCAGGAATCTTCGAAACTCCGAACACTTATGTGTGAGCAGCTTTCTCTGACATCGTCGCTGCAGCGGGGAGCAAGGATCCCAGACCCCCTCGCGCCGTGCTGAGATCGCGGCGGGAGTGTTCTGACAGTTTTTGGCCCGTGGCGGCCCTCACCAGTCCCCAGGACTCGACAGCACAACGACAGAGGATGAACAACGGGCCTCGGGGAATGGGTCCAGACCTTTGTGGATCCACGTCGTGAGAGCACTTTGACGTCGGGGTTTGGGGATCGCCATGGAGGGGGTCTTTGGGTCACCTCGGGGGCATTGTGAGCCGGAGGATGGGCTCAGGGAAGCATGCGTCGACCCCCAATCGCCCACTCGTCGCTGATAGGGGCCTGGTAGTCCACCCCGCCCAGGGCTTGCGGCTTGGCTGCCGCGGGCCCCTCGCCGATCCATCGGCGATGCGTCGCCGATTCAAGCTCGATGGTATCCCCATCTGAGCTGTTCCCCGGCCCCCCCCGTCGATTCAAGCTCGGTGGTTCCCCACCCGAGCTGGTCCTTTCCCCAGCGTTCCCCTCCGGCAAGGGGCTCCCAGATCTTGGGGCTCTCTCTCTTGGGACCAGGCCTTTATCCTGAGTGGGTGCTTCACCGTCATTGGGCCCGTGGGGGGGGGGGCCCAGGGGCCCAGAAGTGGCAGACACCGTCGAGGCCCCCGCTCCCTCAGGACCCGGGCTTACACGTCATGCCGAAGAGAGCAAGGAGCGGAGAGGCGAGACCAGAGGGCAGAGAGAGAGAGAGACGGGCACACAGGAAATATGAAAGACAGACAGAGAGAGAGGAAGAGAGGAAGAGAGAGATAACTATACATACAAGTACATGTATATAGCGAGAGAGAGATAGTGAGATAGGGAGAGGTAACGGAGACTAGGAGGGTGATGGTCAATATCACATGTCGAGGGGGTGGGAGGAGGGCACATACAGTAGGGAGTGGGCACTCGAGAGTGGAAGGGGGGCAGATAGCACAACTTCTATACATAAAAGTGTAGAGAGCAAGGAGCACTGAGAACCACATTCGGCAGACATTGATCTGAGCCGCACTACCAGCGCGCTACCTTTCTGCGTGTTGCTTGCTGTAAAAAGGGTAAATGCGCGAGCCGTTGTTGGACTGTTCGCAGGAACAACCAGTTGATCAACAAAGGCAGGTCAGCCGTCAATTCGAAGTTCTTTCATCGGCCTGAGCAGACCTAGGAGCCAAATATAACAAGTTACGCTGCATCATCGGGGGACCTGGCCTGTCCCCCAAATTGGTGTCTCTTCTTGTGCCCAGCGCGGGCTCGACACGGATCCGACGAGTCCGACAGGGACTCGACAGGGCCCCGGTCGACCTTTCCGACCGCGCCTCGGTCGCAGCATTGGCTCGTGTGCCTCCCCGTCTTGGCACCGGCAGAGCACGACAAGGTCACTTGGTATCGCTCGGACGTGTGCGTTTTTTTCTCGGCGAGGACCATCGAGGGGCATCTAGGATTATCGTAGGAAAAATCAGCGCGCGAAACCGACACATGCACGGGGAATGGACGTCCGAGCGATGGCGAGGGCCAGTCTTTAAGACAGCCGTCAATGTGGCACACGGTGGTCCAAGGCTGGCCTTCACTGGACATCCGGGATGCCTCCAGACAGCCACAAGAGATGGCCGTGGGTTGCCACGGAGCCTCCCAAGGATGGGCTCTCGAGGCGTCAAGATGATGCCACGACCCAGAGGTCTCAATGAGGGCCCCAAGCCCTTCTAAAGCTAACGGAAGAACTGCCTCAAGCGCTATTTGCGATCAACGGGTCGCCAAACGGCCCCTGCAGGGTTCCGAAGGCTTCAAGAAGCTATATTCTAGCCCCGAACGTGCCCCAATGGTTTCAAAGGGGTCTAGTTGCAAGAGGTTACCCGGATCTTCAAACGAATCTGTCTATCGTTTTCCCTTAGGCCTCGGCCCGACTTAAGTTGTCCATGCTTTTCAGTCTACCGCTCTTCCTTCATCCTTCTATTGCCCCTGCTGCTGCTACTGCTGCTGTAGCTCCTTATCCTACTGCTCCGTCTCCTTGCGCTCTATTCCTTGTCGTCATATGTAGATCCTCCTTGTCCCCCATGTGGTTCTCTCCTTGGTGCCGCGCAGGGTCGTTGTCTAGCAGTTACGGTATTCCGTGGATGGAGGGGAGTCGTTTTCAATTTGGGGAGCTTGCTTCAGCGCCGCGCACCATTGTATTAGACGTCTGCAGCACTTTCAGAGATGGATGTGTGTGTGTGTGTGTGTGTGTGTGTGTGTGTGTGTGTGTGTGTGTGTGTGTGTGTGTGTGTGTGTGTGTGTGTGTGTGTGTGTGTGGGGGGGGGGGTCGTTTTCAAACTGTGGCCTTCGCCTTAGCACCGCGCCCACTTGATGGCCACGCACATCCATGGTTGACGCTCTGGGTAGCAGCAAGAACTACTGAGGGCTGGTTTGGTTTTAGGTGGTGCTCTCGTCTGAGCATCTTTCAGGGAAACACGCCCGTGATTTCAACACCTGAGGCTCCGCATGGATCGAGGACTGCTCTTATTCAAAATGCAGCAATCGTTGGGGACTTCTTCGAAGCGCTTGACCACGCGTGTAAATATGCGCAGTGTTGCACGACTGGGGGGGCGGTCTTTCGAAGCCTTCGAACCGAATCTATCGCTGTACACGTCGTTGAATTGTACGTCCATGGTCTTTGCATTCTCAGTTAGTCACCCGAAGAATGCACGCAAGTTCCTTTCCAAAGTGGGGCCCTCGCCAGGATGGCAGGCCCAAAGGGGGTTGTTCGTGCAATGGGCCGCTCCTTGTCGTGAAGGCGAGCTTGCGGGGACGCGTGGCGAGACTCTTCCTCCTCCTCCTCCTCCTCTTCCTCCTCCTCCTCACCACGCTTGGCGACACATTCTTTCGTTGTTGCACCAACTGCGCCATATCGCCAGCCACATGCAGTGGATAGATGAGGAGGGACGTGTGGCGACGGGGGGCCAGGGGGAGAGCTATAAGAAACGTGGTGGGACCACCCTGAGTGGCAAGCCCCCCCCCGAAATGAAGGAGGTGGGTGGTTGCAAGATGAAGCGCGCCAGACTGCGTAAGTCCACAGGACTGGTGGGAGTTCACAGAAGTTTGCGCGTAGCGATCGGGTAGCGAGCCAGGTCAGCGGCTTCATCAAGATATCGGCGTCCTTGCGCGCGCAGCTGCAGTTTGAGTTGTTCGTGCCTCATCTCAAGAGCCTGCCGCTGTTCCGCCTCTGGATCAGCGTGGACACCGCCTTTGTCCGCACTTTCTGCCGCGTGTGCATGAGTTTCAAGTACCTTCCGCAGCAGGACGACCTTTTCCTGTCGGGCAACGAGGCCACGTACGCGTATTACTTCTACAGCGGCAGGATGACGTACACGCAGCACCCCGAGACGTCTCCCGTGACGGAGACGTACAGCCGACGTGTGCACGTCGAGTCGTGGCTGGCAGAGGCGGCGCTGTGGACCATCTGGACCCACGTCGGCACCGCCGTGGCTGACGAGTACACAGAGGCCGCCCCTCCTCCTCCTCCTCGTCCTCCTGCTCCTGCTCCTCCTCCTCCTCCTCCTCCTCCTCCTCCTCCTCCTCCTCCTCCTCCTCCCCGTTCATTCTCCATCCGCCTCCAGCCCTTCCTCCCCTGGGGGGCGCCCGTGAGCCCCGCTGCGGCAGGCGAGGGCGCATGGGGTGACCGTCCTGCCGTCCAGCTCCCAGCCTCTGGCAGGGGCTCCCTGTCCTGCAGTGCCGGCACTCCCGGGCAGTCCCCGGGGAGGGGCGAAGGGAGGACGAGGGAGGAAAGCGAAGGCAGAGGACGAGGGAGAGGAGGGAGGGGAGGAGGAATAAGATGCGGAGGAAGAGGCGGGAGGGAGGGAGACGAAGGGGCCGCCCCTGCCCCAGGTGGCGCAACTGGACGTCCAACAGGTCGCGGACGTCCTGAAGCGGTCCATCCAGAGAGCCCAAAACGACGCAAACATAACTTGTCGGGGGCTCTTCGCGGGTTCCCTGGGTTGGCGCTGGACGTTTTCCCCGGCGCGTGGAGCGCGCGGAGCGCGCCTGGGGTGGCGCGGACGAGGGCCCAGCGCCGATCCAGGGAAACCGCCCGGAAGCTCACGACCAGGGTCTTTGGCGCAACGTTTCGCTCCGTGGCTCTGGCCCTCCGCGCTTCGGCGCGGCACGCTATCCACGTCCCCACTCATAGGCGTTCAGCGGCCCGAGCTGATCCGAGCCTCCCGCCCCGCGGAGCGTTGCAACTTGCTATCCGGTTGCAAGGGTCGCGTGTCGTCGGACTGCCGACGAGACACGCCATCCAAAAGTCTCGACTGTACGTTTGTGAAGTGTTTGTCTGCTCTCTGCCGTCGCCATCAACCAGCTCACCCTCGACTACTGCAAGAGCTTCCACCACCACCTGCAGGCCGCCAAGCCACCCACGTCCAGCTGGCCAGACGACCTGCAGGTGCGCCCCCTCCCTCGTCTCCTCCTCTTTTTTCTTTTCGTCTACACTATTATCCTTCCTTATCCTCCTCCTCCTCCTCCTCCTCCTCCTCTTCCTCCTGCCTCCTCTTCCTCCTCCTCTTCTTTCTTCCTCCTCCTCCCCCCCCTCTACCCCTCTCCCTCCTCCTCCGCCTCCTCCTCCTCTCCCTCCTCCTCTTCCTGGTTCCCTGACCCTCCTCTTCACGTCTCCCTCCTCCTCCTCCTCCTCCTCCTCCTTCTCCTTCTCCTCTTCCTCTTCCTCCTTTTCTTCGCCTCCTCCTTCTCCTTCTCCTCCTCTTCCTCCTCCTTCTCCTCCTCCTTCTCCTTCTCCTCCTCCTGCTCCTCCTCCTCCTCCTCCTTCTCCTCCTCCTCCTCGAGGCGTCTGCGCGCGGTCCCGGACGCTGCCGGCCCGCTTTCTTTTTTTGTTCGGGGAAGGGGGGCTCCCGCGGAGGCCTCGGCGCCACCCCCTCGGGAGGCCTTGGGGCTTCCTTGGGCACCCCCCACTGCGGGCAATAGTTATATCCACATCCAGTGCGTCTTGGAGTCTTGGGCTCTCTTCCCCAGAACACGGGAGACGCACTGAATATGTTTAAAAGTCTGGCCCCAAGAGGCTCGATGTTATCCATATCCAGTGCGCCTCGGCGTTGCGGCACCTCTTCCCAAAAAGTCCAAGACGCCCTGGATATGGATATAAGTGCTGCCCGCACCCACGGGCGCGCGCGCGCGGGGGGGGAGGCAGGGCCCCTTTCGACTGCTGCGAGTCGAGTCGATTCGAGTTCGAGTCGATTCGATTTCGATTCGACTCCGATTCGATTCGATTTCGGATTCCGATCTGGGCTCCGATGTCTTATCGGACGCACGCTGGCCTGCCGATTCCCGCCGATTCGGCGTGTCCCGACTCTGCTGCCGATGTCCGCCGATCCAGCTTCTTTTTCGATCGCCGATCCGACTCACCGATGCGATTCGTGGGGGGGAGGGAGGGGGGGGCAGGTGCCCATGACGGAGTGGCACGACATGGTCCTGGCCATGAACAGGGAGTCGCAGACTGTCATCGGCCTGGACGCCCTGAGCCAGGCCACCCAGGGGCGCACGTCGTGGATCCGGCCGGTGAGGGGGCTCCACGAGCTCGGCACGGAGGTGGAGACGGGCAAGTCCACCGTGATGCTCACCGCCGAGGGAGAGCTCCAGCGGGTGCCGCCCTCGACCAGGGGGCCCTGACCCGTCGTTCGGGGCCTGATCGCGCCGCTGATCGGGTCGACTCGTCGATGCATCCGCACGGTGCTCCACCCCGTGAATGGGATCGGGCTGGTTGGATCGGGATCAGGCCGTGGGCCGCAGGTCGGGAGAGGCCAAGTCCAGACGGAGTAAGTCCACACGGAGTGTTCTGCCTCCGTCTGGGCTCACTCCGTTGAGTCTTAGCCTCTCCTGATAGGATGCCAAGTCCACACGGAGTAAGTCCACACGGATTGCTCGGTCTCCGTCTGGGCCTCCTCTGTCTGGACTTGGGCTCTCCTGCGAAGGTCATCTCGGTTCGCGGGGGATGGGGTGCTGAGGTGACGTCCCTGGTTGTCTTCAAGATCTTCAACAGCCACGAGAACTTGCTTATCCAGATCGGGAAAGAGGAGCCTGGGGGCGCGAGGCCGGATCTCAGCACCTGGAGGCCTCTGAGGATTTCCCTGCGGGCCCCTCGGGACCTCGCGAGACCATGCAAGGCCGTCAGGCATTTCAGGAGGAGGGGCAGGGGGGAGAAACAATACATACATGTATAAAGAACAAATCAAACAAGTAAACTACAAGCAAAACACGTAACACTTATATTAAAAAGAGGAGGAGGGGGAGGGGGGAGGGGGAGGGGGAGGGGGACCCTGCTTCCCCTGGCTTCTCTCTCTCTCTCGTCCTCCCGTCGCGCTTCCTCGTGCCGCTCCCTCCGCCGGTCTCCCTCCGCATCCAGCGGCGCTCCCCCTTGTGGGGCCGTCGCGCCTCTCGCGCCTGCAGCCCCCGCCCGCGTCCCCCAGTCAGTCAGTCTGCTCCCGGGCCCAGGAGAGGAGGGGCGCCCCCCCCCCCCCCAAAAGAAAAACAATAATACAAATGATAAACATAATAGTAATACTAGAACTAATAATGTGACATAAAAACACACAAAAAAAAGGAGGGGCGCCAAGGGGCGAGGGCTCCAACCGACCCAGCAGACCAGCCCGTAGCCGGAAGCCTGAAGGTGGACGTGGCGGGGCTCGGGGGTGCGCAGACAGCCCCCGGAGGTAGTATGCAGTCGGGCACGTCCCTCCCTCTACGGGGGGAATGCTCAAGAATAGTCAACACATAGTCGGGGGACGGTTCGTCGTGCTCCTTGGACTCATTCCATACCTAGGCTCTGCCTAGAAGGGTTCTTACCCTGCATGCTTAAAGGGCCGGGTAGTGCTCCCCGCCCCGGGCGGTGCCCCCAGGGTCCGCCCCGGGGTTCCCCCAGTGACGTTCTTTAGCTTAGCGTTGCTTATCTCATCTTAGCTTAGCGTATTCCATCTTAGCATAGTTTAGCTTCATCTTAGTTCAGGCTTATCTTAGCTTAGCTTACCTTCATCTTAGCTTCACCGAGCTTTAGCATAGCATAACACAGCATAGCATAGCAGCATAGCAGAGCGTAGCACAGCACAGCTCAGTACAGCATATCATAGCAAAGCCCAGCATAGCACAGCATAGCGCAGCATAGCACAGCATAGCATAGCATGGCACAGCACAGCACAGCACAGCATAGCACCCCGCAGCATAGCATAGCATAGCATAGCATAGCATAGCATAGCATAGCATACCATATCATAGCATATCCTAGCATATCATGTCGCAGCCTAGCATAGCATAGCATATCATAGCTTAGCTTAGCATAGCACATCGCATCATGGTATATCATAGCTTAGCATCGCATAGCATAGCATAGCATAGCATATCATAACATATCATAACATAGCATAGCCCAGCGCAGCATATCATAGCATATCATGGCATACCGCAGCATAGCATGGCATGGCATAGCATAGCATAGCAACGAATGCTGCTTTCCTAGGGGCTCCAACTTCTAGGTAGGGTCGCACAGGTGTAATTTCTGAGTATCTGTGGACCACTTGTTCTGTTTCGTCCCACAGTCCGCCTGTAGGAGGACATGCCCGACCTACACGTAGTACTGGCTGGCCTCGACGTTGCGGGCCGCGGCCTCGCGGGCCGGGCCCTTGGGCCGTGACCCCACGGATACGGGGCGTTTCTTCTCGGATGCCCGGCGCGAGACGTATACATCGTTCATTTCTTATTCTTCGACCGTTCCTGGATCTTGGCGGGGGCCAAGATCCTTTCAGTTCTGACGGCTCTATCCCGGGCCTCTGCCTGGCCACGAGGGGGCCAGGAACAATGGGAAACGAGCACGATCCGAACCGAGCACGACCAGAACTGCACGGCGCGTGCCCACGAGACCCACGGCATCGCGCCGCGGAGCCCCAGACCGCGAGAGCCTTGGACATGGCTGTGTGCTCGCCGCCCGTGGCGCGTGGCCGCAGGCCCCCCCCCCCGAGGTGTGCACTGGCCCCGGGGGGCGGCCTCCGTACCCCCGGCCCGCTGGGCGGCGCCGCCGGGAGCAGCGTCGGGGGTGCTGGATATGCCCGCCGGTGGGCTGCCCTGCAGGGGACCCCGTCGAGGCTGCCTCCGCGCTCCGCCTGTGCGCCGCAGCCCCAGGCCGTGCCACGGAGGAGGGGACGGAGGAACAGGTCGGGGGCTGGGCGAGGGCTGCTCAAGCCGCGGCTGCCCAAACGGCCCTCCCGGAGGGAAAAAGTAGCTTCCCGGAATGAGGCGCGGCACGCGAAACAGTCAACGGCTTCGTCCCGGAAGGACGAAGACAACTTCCCCGAGGTCGATTTTAGCAGCCACGAATTTAGCAGCCCTTGCCTGGCTTCCGACTAGAGCCATCCCCCCAGATTTCTTCCTCGTAGGCGGCCCCTACCCGGATTGGATTTCCATTGCGGGAAGTGCCCCATGAAAGCAATCGCACTCAAGCACGAGCCCTGGGATATCAACACCGCGAATCAGCGCTGCGACCTGACATGCCTCAATTGTGTCAGAACGCAATACTCGGGAGTTTCAACAGCCCTTGTCAATGTTACTGTTGCGCCCTGGCAATCCTCAACCGTGCCAGAACATGAATCCTGTGATTTCAACCGTACGAATCCTCGCAATTGCTGCAGACGTGCATCACGAATGTGCGCGGCGTTTGAGCGGAAATCGCATTTTGAAATGACGTGCTCTCCATCCTTGAAGCGGTTGCGGACGTGTATGGCGAACGCGCGCGGCGCTAAGGCGAGCGCCACAAACTGAAAACAAACCGCCCTCCATCCTTCAAGGTGTTGCAAATGTCACACTTCAGAATTATATGTGGTGAGGAAGTCTCAGGCGAAACGCCAGACCGCCCTTTCCGACACGTTTCGGTGTGCGGCAGGGAGGAGTTTTTTCGCGCGCGCAGCTGTGTTCTAGAGCTCGGACCCGTGTCTTTTCGTCGTTCGTTCGTTCGTGGTTTGCCCTCCTTTTTTGCATACCCACTGGCCCTTGTCCCAGCCCCTTCGCCCCCCCCCTGGCTCTAGACTTCAGAAGACCCTTCATGCCCGCCGGTCGTTCTTTGTTTCGTGGCCTGCCCCCCCCCTCCCCTCCCCAGACCCCTCGCTCCCCGTGTCCCCGGCACCCTGGCCTGCCCTGGCCCCGCCTGGATCCTCCATGGCCCCGGAGCTCCTCCTTCTCATCGTGCGTTCGCTCGTGCGCTCGCTCGTGCGTGGCCAGCCCTTCCTCCCCGTGTTTCTCGTCCTGGCCCACGCCCCAGCCCCCTCGCTCCTCTGGCCCCCTGCGCCCTTGATGGTCGTCTCGTGGCCTGCTCCCCCCCCTTCCCCCTGGCCTTCCCCCTGGCCTTCGCCCCCGGCCTTCGCCCCCCAGCCCCCATCGCTCCCATGGCCCCCCTCGCGACCTGCTCGTGCAAGGGCCAGGGCACGCGTGCCACGTGTTTTCGCTTCGTCGTCGTCGTCGTCGTCGTCGTCGTCGTCGTGGCCTCCCCTGGCCGCCACGCCCTGCCCTGGCCACCTGGACCCCTGTTCCCGCCACAGGCTTGGCATCGCTCGGACGTGTGCATTTTTCTTTCGGCGAGGACCATCGAGGAGCATCCTTGATCATTTGGGGAAAAAAACCACGCACGAAACCGAAACAAAAACACAGAGATAGGACGTCCGAGCGATGGCCAGCAGGGCTTCGGACGCTTTTCCTTTCGTGTCGTCGTCGCCGTGGCCTCCCCATGGCAGCCCTGCCCTGGCCCTCCCCATGACAGCCCCCCTGCCCGGGCCCCCTGGACCACGTGCCTCCCACAGGCTTCGGATCCCCCTGTTTTCGTGTCGTCGTCGTCGTCCGTCGTCGTCGTCGTCGTCGTCGTCGTCGTCGTCGTCGCCGCCGTCGTCGTCATCGTCGTCGTCGACGTCGTCGTCGTCGTTTTCGTCCTCGTCGTCGTCGTCGTCGTCGTCGTCGTCGTCGTCGTCGTCGTGGTCGTGTTGGTCCGCCCTTCCCGCCCTGACAGCCATTGCACCTTGCCCCCGCGCTCCTCATTTCCCTCGCTACTCCCTCGTGCGGGAGCCAGGGCATGCGTGCCACTTGTCTTAAACAGGGAAGGGATGGAAGAGGAAGTGGAGGAGGAGGAGGAGGAGGAGGAGCCGGAGGAGAGAGAGGAGTGGGGTGGGGGCAGGGAGGGAGGAGGGGAGGATAGCTCTCCACAGTCCTACGTGGGCTTGGCGTTTTCTTTGCACACCTCCCTCGCAGGAACCCCCCACGACCTCTCCTTTCACCACACCTCACCACCACCACCTGTCATCACTACGACCGCAGCTCGAGCATTACCATCATTACCATCACTGGTGCCCGTCATCACCACCGCCCACCATCATCTTCCACACACAGACACCCCCACAGCCCCATCGCCACCAATCATCAGCATACCTTCAGTACCCCCACGCGCACTCACACACATGAGCACTCGCGCGCTCCCGCACGCACGCACGCGCACACTTACGTTGCGGAAGTCTCGGGCGTGAGCCTCGTCTGTGAGGCAGCTGCGAGGCTGCCTCTCGAGCGGGAGCCCCTTCCTCTTGGGGCCCGCGAAGGAGGAGGGAGGAAGAGTACGAGGAGGAAGGAGGAAGGTGAGTGTGAGGGTGAGGGTGAGGGTGAGGGTGAGGGTGAGGAGGATGCGGAGGAAGAGGAGGACGTGGAGGGTGAGGAGCATGAGGAGGAGGTGGACGAATATGACGAGGAGGACAGGAGGAGGGAGGAGGAGGAGGAGGAGGAGGAGGAGGAGGGAGGAGGAGAGGAGGAGGAGGAGGGAGGGACGAGGAGGAGGAGAGAGGAGGAGGAGGAGAGCGGCTATGGAGGAGGAGGAGGAGCAGGAGGAGGAGGAAGAGGAGGAGGAGGAGGAGGAGGAGGAGGGAGAGGAGGATAATGAGATGGAAGATGAGGGAGTGAGGAGGAGGAGCAGGAGGAGGAGGAGGAGGAGGAGGGAGCCCGCGGGCGGAACGCCACAGGAGTCCGGACGCATGAAGCCCTCGTGCCAGCTCCTGGGGGGCAAGCAGGACCGGGGCGCGCTCCCTCCTGCTCCCCGCCCCTCCCTCCCCCTTCCTTCATCCCGCGCTCCCCTCCATCCTTCTAGCCTTCCTCTCCTTCCTCATCCCTCGTTGCCCCTCCTCCCTGCCCCCACAACAGTCCTTTTCATCCTCTCCCCTCGACTCCACTCCTCTCCCTCCTCGTCGACTCCGTCCCTCTCCATCTTCCGCTTCTCCTTCCTTCCTCCACCCCTCGTCCTTCCATCTTCCTCCCTCGACTCCATTCCGCCTCCCCCCCTCACCCTCTCACGCCCTCTCCGCACTCCGGACGGGCGGCCACCGGGACTTCTTGCGCCTGCCTTCCCTGAGGTCCGACGTGGCGAAGAGATGCTGCTCATCGAGCTTCGCACCCGGAGCCCAACAGCATGCCGTCCTGCTGCGCCCTCCGAGCCAGGTTGCTCTGTCACAGGGTCCCGCGGCCGAGACAGGGCGACAAGCCCGGTGCGAAACACGCTCATGCCCAGATCTCTTTTCGGAGAATCGAAAGTCAGCCGCGCGCAGAGGGGGGTGGGGGGAGAGGGGAGGTCTTCTCAGAAGCACCCCTGCATCTCAGAAGGCGCGGGCCTTCCCTAGAGGTGTAAGGCCGGCGCCTTCTAAGAAGCAGCCCCCTGCTAAGAAGCCCTCCCCCCTCCCTCCACCTCCCTTGTGCGCGCCGCCAAGAGAGGCCTCAAGCTCGCCGGACCTGCGGTAAGCCGACGCTTTCTGACGGGCCCAGTCTGGAGTTCGACGGTCCCGCTGTCGTGGGGCGGCCGTGGGAGCCCTCGCGTGTCAGCTCTCGGGCCGGGTCTCGTCCTGGTGCCGCCGGCCCCGCGAGACTGGCTCGAGCCCTCCAGAGTCGAGCTTCACGCCTCCCTCGGGGCGCCATCGGGGAGGCGAAGATTGTCGCGCCTCGCGGTTCGGCTCCGATTCCTCTTCCTCCTCCTTCTCCTCTTCCATCTCCTCCTCCTCCACCTCCACCTCCTCTTCCTCCTCCTGCGCCTCCTCCTCCCCCTCCTCCTCCTCCCATCCTCCCCCTGCCAGACGGCGGCTGCGTCTCCTCCCTCCTGGCCGCGTGGCGCTCGCTCCCCTGGGCGCCCGCCGACGTTTCGGCTCAGGCTCAGGGCCATGGCCCCCGTGGCTCGAGCTTGACGGCAGCCGGGGGGCCTTGCCCAGAGGCTGCAGGTGCAGGCCGCCAGGAGGCCTCCTTTGTCGTTGTTGCCCCGCACGAGCCGCCGATGCTCTGCTCGCGCTGCCCGCGGCCGTGTCGGAGCGCCTCCAGCCGTGTCGCTCTCTCTTGGCCTCGCCGCCAGCCGTGCGGAAGACAGGCCAGATCAGCATGCTTGCAGACACGCGGACCTCCCCCAACCGCCGCCCAGGGTGGCACCCTGCATGCTTCGGTCAGTGCGCAGGTTGCTGCAGCAAGCCGGCACACCAAAGCCAACCACCAGCATCGGAAGCAACACAACGAAACCATCCGCCAGCTCCAAGCTTGCTCGGCATGCTGGGGTCCGCTGGGGGCCCCCGTGGCACGGGCCCCCTTCCACGCTGGGCGTCTGTGTTCTCGGACGCCAGCCGAACTGCTGACGCTCCCCACTCGAGGGGCTTGTCCTCTCGCCGAGGTGCCCCTCGCCGCCAAAGGGAGCCCCTGTGCTCATAGAGCTTGGAACCGCCTCTCTTGCGCAGTCCTGCATCGAGACTTCCGCATGTTCAGCTGCGCCGGGGGCGGCGCCCGACACAGAAGTGGCACCCAGCCTGCGTGCCTCGAGGATCTCCACGCCCCAAAGGTTACCCTCGGCGCGGCAGCGGCCGTCCGCAGGCAGCGGCACCGCGTTCACGTCGCCCTGGCAGCGCACGGTGTGGATCGGCGCGCTCCCCAGAGCCACTTCGGCCAGTTTGCGGCAGACTCAGTCGGAAGATTGGAAGGGCCAGATCTTGACCTCAGTGAGCAGTGTGCGGACACAGTTCCGCCGCATCAGTCAGGCCTACAGCCTCGCCTTTTTCCAGCGAGGCCCTCGCGAAGGATGTCCCCTAACGCTTCAACAACTCGAACACTCAGTGGAGGGCCCGCGTGACGGGATCTTCCATAGCATCAGGGCCAGGACCGACTTGCCCAAATATGTTTGCACCGACCAGCGCGCTCTGAAGAAGACATGGGAACATATCGTCGCCCTCTTCCAGGACAGCCCCCATTGCACCGTCACCGGCTACAAGGGATCGGCCCACTAGACCAAGGGCGTTGACATGTGGCTGCTGATGACCACGAGCGGCGTGCGCCATGTTGCCATGACTTTTGACGTGGGGGCCGAGACCTGCCAGCAATGCCAGCTAGACCCCGCCAAAGAGCAGACCATCATGAATGACCTCAAGATCAGTGGCCTCTACATATACGGCACACTATCGTCGCACACCTCGCAACACATGCGCCCACGCTAACAATACTGAAGAACAATACCTCCATTCGCCTGAGGAATCTGTGACACCGCGCGGTAGCAGCGCACAGGGAGACATCGCCTCTCGTCCTCTTCGGGTTCGCCAGTGACTTCTCCTTCTGGCTCCTCCATACCACCGGTGGCTAGTCCAACGACCTCGGGGGCCGCGCCCCGTTTTCCCTCCGTGTCGACGCGAAGCTCGAGCTCGACGGATGCAGGGTGGCGCCTGGGCCTGCGGCAACTCGGGACCCGTCTGGGATAATGCAGCCTCTCAACCTTCATGAAGCCCCTCGCGCCTCGCGCAAGCACCTGACATGCTCAGGCGCTTCTCTTCCCCTTCTGCTGCTCCTCCTTCTTTCTCTAAGACAGAATTTCAAAGGCTTGGCCAGGCTTTCACATAACATTTGTATACGCACGTAGATAGTACGTGTACTGCAGACTTACAGCCATGTCTGGGATCTTGAGATTCTGGCACGTGAGCACCGGGACTTTCATGTTTTGGGATCGTGCATGGAGGGCGGTCGCGCCGGGGAAGTGGTGTTCTTGGTGCATAAAGTCCGTGGCGCAGGCAGGATTTCGAATCCATGCTTCCCCGTGACCATGCTCCCGGGCGTATGGTTTTACATGTTTTTGTTGTTCTCTCTCTCTCTCTCTCTCAATAGATCCCTCCTCTCTCTTTCTTTTATTTTCCACTCTCTCTCTCTCTTTCTCTCTCTCTCTCTCCCTCTCTCTCCTGTGCTGGCCAGAAGGCACCCACCCTGCAGGTGACGGGGGTCCATCTTGATCTTTACTGGACAGAGACTGACCACGCGCCACCTTGCGACGGCCTCGCGCTATTTGAAGCCGCATTCGGCGGCGCACAGCACTATCATGGACGATCTCAACTTTCGTGAACACTTTGCATCCTGATGCTATCTCGATCTCCCGCAAGCCAAGCCACGCATATCCCGTCTTGCCACCGCTTCGGGCCTCCTCTTCCCCAAGCATGCCGAAGTGGAGCAGCTCGCATTTACCCGTGCAGCAGAACTTCGGGGGCGTGGCTCCCATGTTCGCTTCGATCGCACGCGCGCCAACATCGTCGCGGCCATCCCGCTCGCCCATCGGCCAAAGGTGTGCGTGTGTGTGTGTGCGTGTTCTAGCAGGTCACTGCCGTGAGCCAGTCCTCTGAGCATGCGCATGCTGTCCTGTGCTTGCATCTCACCGGGCCAGGCGAAGTTCCTACGCAGAGTGTCCCGGAGCTGTCTTCAGGCATGCCCAGTGCGGCACGCTTGTGGAAGACTTGATTGATGCCGTTGGCCTCCCCCAGGACCCATGCTCTAAGATGCAAGGAACTAAGGGTCGACTCCACATTGCTATTGGGTGTGTCCGTCGCATTGTCGAGATATCGCGCGCCGCTTCCAGCCCAGTGGAAGCGGCCGCCGTGCTCGAGCTCGCGCGTGCTTCCAGGGCAGGGGGCCAAGTGCATGCCGGGCGCGCCTGTCTCGGCCATCGCGCCCTCTTCAAGTTGGTCGACCCCGAGACGATGGGCCAGGTTAATCACAACCTCTTGCCGTGGCGGCTAAGTGAAATCGCGCGGTCTGGCTACGAGGGGGAGGCGGTGGAATGCGTCTTGCTTCTTTTCTCTGTGGAGGTGGCGGCTGAGGAGGCCATCGCTCACGTCCGTCGCCTCGCTTCTGCTCGAGCTGCCCGGCGGCCCCGCGCTGAGCGAGCGGCGTGGGGGCGAATCGCATCCCTCTCGAGCCCAACCCCTCTGATACTTCATCCAGCAGTTGCGTCGTGCCTCTCCCCGGTGAGACAATGCTACCTAACGACGTCTTGATTGGGTTACTCCTCAGAATCAGTTCTGCCATCTGCTGGTCCGTAAACAGGACACTGCCGCCGGCCCTGCCCGGGCGCCGCATTCAGCCCGGCGGAGATCCGGCATGCGCACTCGCGCAGCCCTGCGAAGCCTGCGCGTGCACGTCATGAAGCCGCCCGCCCGCGCGCGGCCCCCACCTTTGCCGCGCCGTCTCTCTCCCGGAAAGGCGGGCGACGCCGTCGGCGACGCGGGGAGGGGGGGGGGGGGGGGCGAAATCCAGCGGCCTTGCGCCTCCTGTCCTTCTCCGCTTCTCCGCGACCGATGTCAAAGTCATTATTTGTGCAATCTGCCCGCGCCCAATGAAGATGCGGCTGGCAAGTGCCGCGGGGGGCGACGACGAGGCTTTGCGGGGGGGCGGGCTGCGACGGCGATGCCATTGATATGGGCGGGCGCCCTCGCCAACGAGCGCAACTGCGGCTGCGCTCTCGTCGAAATTCAAGACGTTTGCCCGAGCGCCTGCCGCTCGCGGATGTGCAGATTCTTGCGCTTGACCGCGTGGAGCCGCCAACGAATCCCCCGCCTTCGCGCCGAAGTTTGGACGCGCGCCTCCGCGGGCGATTTCGGGATGTCTGGGAATTCGGCCACGAGGGACCTCTTCGCTCTCGCTCTGGGCCCATGTCTTCGATTCCCCCGGCAGCTCCGCCCGCGGCTGGAATTTGGGCTCGGTGACTTCGCGGGCGACATCTATTCGGCTGTCCGCAACT